ACACGCAGATTTTGAGAAACGCGCACGGTTATCAGAACCGACGAGAGGTCTGTATAGCCATCCAGATCAACACGGGTCAGCTCGTAGCCGCCCTCGGAAAATGTTGGACAGGCCGGTACTTGCTTGGTTTCCGACCAAGCGATGGACTCTTCGGTAGACGAGGTCTCATTCCAGCGGTAGGCTGAGATCTCAAACTCGCACCACTTCTCGTCTCCATGGGCATCACATCCGAGGCTGGCTCCAAAGAGGTCGAATCGGAAGCAAGGGCTGGCGGCATGGGGGCCTACACCAATCTGGGCGACGTCCCCCGAGATCGTAGATGTTGTGTTGGAGAGCGCCGGGGGAACAAACTCCACTAGCTGACCACCAGAAGTAGGGATGTATGGTTGAGATTGCCTAGAAGAAGGTGGTGCGATAAGGAAACCTCCTGAAAACCAGATGTTCTCAACAGGATTGAAGAGAGGCCCGGGTTTGGAGTTATCGAACTGAGAAATATTAGCAAAGATCTATGTATGAGTAAGAAAGCTGCTTACATCAATGGTGGTATTTCCAATGCTTCCTCCTGTTGTACAGATGGAAGGAGAACTGGCTTTGGAAGTCGTTTCTGTTGCTGTGGGAGAAGTCACGCTGGAGTCAGAGGCAGTGATGTTAGACCAAGACATGCCTTGACGGCGAAAAAAGCGCTTTCGGGGAACGGTGACAGTGGCAAGAGTGGTGAGAGGGTAGTCGATTGTGTAAGAAGTGGTCTCATCCTTGATGACATTGGTCCAGGTAGTGGTCTGTAGAGTGGCAGTGCCTGCAGAAAGAGGCCAGAGAGTATTCTCGCTTGCAACAGGTCCGTACGCAGTCTGGGGAAGCTGATCAGAAGAACCGTCACCTGAAGGGTTACTGGTGAAGGGAGGCTGCTCCGCACCATCTGAAAACACAGGACCATTTGAAGTGTCAACAACAGAAGTGACAGTCCAAGTGAAAGTTCCAGTGGTTGTACCAGAAGCAGAAGTACCCTGCGCATCGGCGCTAGCATCGGTGAGTATAACCGAGATGGAGTCTTCAGGCATTCCGTCATTGTAGCCGTTGAGGGTTGGGATACTGGTAGAAAGAGGGCCCAGGTCACCTGTAGTGAGGACGGGCTCGGAGTTAGATGGGGGTGTAATGCCAGAGGACGTTGCTTGGGGAACATCGGCAGAAATACCAAGCGCAGAAGAGTCACTGAAGACAATTGTCTGCTCAGTTGGTGTCGGCTTTCCGTCAGGGCCAAGTACGACAGCAGTTGTGATCGTGGTGAATGCTTTCGAAGAACCAAGAGATGAATCAGTTTGGCCATCAGTAAGGCTTGCTCCAGCAGGATTTTCAGTACCGGTGGGAACGACAAATGTCGAATCAACAACTGTTGGAAGGCCATCTGTTCCGATTACTGTGTAGGTAATGCAGGTGATGAGGCCAGACACCTCACCATCGTTTCCATTGGAGGGGAGACCCGGGGAGGATGTCACTGGAACAGGATTTCCAGTGGGAAGGCCAGAAGTAAGTGAGTCGGAGACAAAAGAGGGATTGCCAGGTGACTCGGATCGAGTGTTGGCAGATCCTGAGATAACCCAGGTCGAATCGACAATTGTTGGAAAACCATTGGGTCCAATGGTAGTGTAGCTAGTACAAGTGGTAATGCCTTCGCTTCCATCATCAGATCCAGAGGCATCGGACGGGCCAGAAGAGGGTAGCTCGGGAGCTCCCGTGGTTTGCATAGTTATGGCAGATGTGACGCCGTTGGGTAGAGAATCCGAAGCCCACGAGGGTTCTTTGGTGCCAGTGCTGATACTGGGGTCAGTATTTGTCGGTCCAGGGATGACCAAAGTGGTGCCCACAACTGTAGGAAGACCATCGGCACTAATGATAGTGTAACTCGTGGAAGTGGTGATAGGGATAGCGCCGCCCAAGTTGGATGTTGTAGAAAGGGATCCTGGAATATCATCGGGGCCGAAGGTTGACAGGCCGGAAATGGTCAAGAAGCCCCCTGAAGACTCTGAGCCAGGAGCTCCAGATGGATGTCCAGAGTCAGAGTCAGATCCAGTCACAGGAACAGCCCAAGTCGAGTGAACCACCGTGGGAAGCCCGTCAGTGCCAATGATGGTGTAGCTTGTGCACGTTGATGAGCCAGAGCCTCCAGGCCCGTCCTGAGGTATGCCAGGTGCAGAAATTGGACCAGTGGGGATGCTACCAACATCAATTGGTATGCCAGAGAGTGAAGCTTGGGGAATGCCAGTTACGGGAAGTTGTGAGGAGTCCTCAAAGGAAGGTGTGCTGTAAGGGACAACCCACGTGGAGTCAATCACTGTGGGAAGGCCGTCGGTGCCAGTGATGGTGAAGGTTGCACATGTAGTGATTCCCCCTCCAGGTCCGCTGCCAGGAAGAGATCCAGCTTGGGAGTTGGAAGGACTTTGTGAACCAGGGAGACCAGCAGATACAGCAGAGGGTAGTGGAAATACTGTAGGAACTCCACCTGGGAGGCCTGGGTTGTTGCCACTTTGGGTGAACCCTGGGGTAGCTGAAGGCTGTTGTTGGCCAGGGCCAACATTGCTTCCGCTGCTGACAATAGTGGGTAGTCCGTCTTGGCCAGTGATAGTGATGAAGGAGGGGATAGGTTGGCCAGCATCATTTCCTCCTGGGACATTGGTGAACCATGGGGAGTTCTCGCCTTGGCCTTGAGGACCTGCCTGGGTGGTGACTGGGAGACTGTCGCTCGCCTCTTGAGGAGGCATAGCGGAAGGGAATTGCGGCTGGCTGCCTGGTACACCACCATTACTTGGAGAGCCAGGTCCCGGGAAAGGAGTGGGGGCAGCGGTATTGGCACCAGAAGCTCCAGGGAAACCCACAGAGGAATCATCGCCAGAAGCGCCATCAGAATACCCAGGCGCACCATTGGAGCCAGGGGTCTGGGAGAAGGGTGGGGAATCGGAGTTGTTCTGAGGGCTATTCTCGCCATCTGACCCAGAGCTGTTGCTAACACCCGATTCAGACCCGGAATTGGAGCCGGAGTTTGAGCTGTCGGAACCATCACTAGGATCGTTGGCACCACCGACGCTGTTGCCATTGTCTGTGCCGTTACCATCTTCTGGGTTGCTGCTATCACTAGATCCTGTACCATCATCTGACCCTGAACCAGAGCTTGAAGGGCTACCATCAGGACCCCAAATGTCGAGTGTCAACGTGGTGAAGGGAGGGACAGAAGATGCGAGCATCAGAGAAGTGAAATCCGCAGGCGTGGTAGGGAAGGGTGATGGAAAGTCTGAGCCATCAGAATCCGAATCGTCTGGCCACGGGAAATCTTGTCCGTCCTGAGTATCTGTGGGGTAGACAGTGACAACAACAGTCTTTGTGGAGCGAAGAGAACAGGTAGGGAGGCCAGAGCCACCAGCGTTGGGAGACCCGGGTGAGCCAGGCATGTTCTGAGGTGCATTGGTAGGAAAGCTGCCAGGAACGATAATTGAACCAGCACCAGGGATATCGGGAGAAGAATTACCAGGAAGGTTTCCAGGGATACCACCAGGGACACCACCGGGGACACCACCAGGGACACCACCGGGGACACCACCAGGGACACCACCAGGAACACCACCAGGAACACCACCAGGTTCATTAGGAGGGAGACCGATAGAGCCACCGTCGGTAGAGCCAGGGCCGACGCTGCTGGGCAAGGGGCCAGGAACGTTTCCGGCAGCGCTGCTTGGGTACGAAGGGTTACCAGACCCGTCGGTGTTGCCAGGAATGATGTTGCCAGAGCCACCAGGCGAGTTACCAACTGGGCTCCCGTTGGGGTTTCTGTCATCCAAGGTTAGCCAGGGACAAAGATGAGCGGTGCGTTGTAACTTACCCGTAGTCTGTTGCCTGAGCGGCAGTATGACCCAAGAGGCCGGTGGCCACAAGGACCCCGAGAGACGCGGCGATACGCATCTTGGGTGATCAACTTCGACGCGAAGAAAGTCGAGCGGTTGAGGTGAGTGTACAAGGGGGAGAGAAAATGCGAGATGATTTCTGTTGGTGGGCAAGTGTAAAATGCTTTGCCAGAAAAGCTGAGAAGAGAGAGCTTGAAGATGAATGCAACAGAAACGAGAGGACTGAGAAGATGCCTCTTCTCGAACTGAGGAGGATTGAGGATGAAGAGAAAAGAAGATGAGGTGGGATGAAGAAGAGAAGAAAAGGTTTGTGGAACGAGATCGCGAGGGGAAGGATATATACGGTGGATGCTACCTATGGAGGAGGGGGACGAGGGCAGGAGTTCCTTCCTCCTGGAGCGGCAGAATGTTGGGGATGACGCGTTGAGGAGTTGCGCGAGCCAGAGGGAGAGGAAGTCACGACAAGAGGAGGAAGGAGCGCGTGAGGCAGCTGCCAGCCGGCAGTTGGCCCCCCTTATTGGACCAGATCAACCAAAGAGGTAGGCGTATCAATCCATGTGAGAACGAGGTCTAACTCTGGACTTGCACGCGATAATTCAATTAATCTCTATTGCCATTGTACGATGTCCATCTCTTGAAGCTCCAAGAATGTGATGTGATGTTTGACAGGTAACTTGAACTTGGAACACATGGAATCCAGTTCAAGTCACCACATGGGCTTAGGTTTGAGCGAGTCGAATTAGGCAGTCGGTGCTCCTTCCTGTTCCTCAGCTGTTGGCAGTGTCGTGCACCTGGACGTCACGCAAGATGGGATGATTTCTCGCGAGGCACGCACTCAGAAGGCAGGCATGGAAGGTTTGGTGCCTCAGTCATTCTGGATCCCAGCCGGCCTGCCCAGATGCTAGGTACTTCAGGTGAGGGGAATGTGCGAGGCGTGGTCATAATATCTAGGTACCTTGAGCAGGACTGCAATGAAAGAGGTTCATGCGCAAAGAATATGAGTAGGTGCACTGCCATCGAGCCGAGTTGTCGAAGCCAATGGCAGTTCGGTGAAATAAATAGGTAATCAAGATAGCACTAAACTCGTATTATGGTAATTCATTATCTGGCTCATACTACATCATCGGAATAATCAGTGTAAGGGGGAGGTGCATCTGGGTGAGGGTCCTCGTGGGCATCATCTTGATACGTCTGGCCGTTCGCAGCAGTATTGTCAGCAGGGTCCCTACTCTCCTCCTCGATGCGAGCCGTCCACTGAGCTGCACCAGCTGTAGTTGTCAGCAGAAAGAAGAGCGACAAGACAGGGATGAGTTCAAGAATCATAGCAACTGTGCCGAACCAAACATACTCCCACGCGCGATCCCTCAACGCCTTCTTCTGCTCAGCTTTTGAGAATCCCTTGATTTGGAACCAGCGATAATGAGCGAGCTTGCCGAGTCGAGTTCCAGTGATGATGATAAAGGCAGGTGTGCCAACAACTGGAACGAGGTTGAGTGGTAAGAAGACAATGAGCTCAACAATCTGGATGATGCTCCATGGAGTGTAGATGGCAGCAGTAGTGGGCTTTCCGAGCATTCTGACCGGGTTCGGTGCGTCCAAGAACAGGATTCGCTGTGGTGCAATAAGATCCTTATGTCCAAGCTTGATAAGAGCCGCCTACAATTGTCAGTCACTGAACTACAAACAACAACCGTTTTTCAGTCCAACTACTTACATCAAATACATCCACTCGACATTCATCAACGAAGAAGCCCTCGAACAAGCCCTGTATGATGACCAATCCTTCGCCTAGTACCAGTACCACAGCATTGACCCACGCGCCCCAGCCATGGAATATCGCTAAGAAAGCATACTGGGGTAAGAAGGCAAACGTGAAGAGTAAAAGGTACACCAAGAACGAGATTAGGGATATAGGCAGGATCCTTCCCACCAGGAGTGGCCAGAACTCGTGGTTTTGAATGAAGAACCAGATGCCACGCAAAGGATACGACGCGGCAACGCCGGCCCTCTTGAGGTACAGCCACGGCCGATGGATTGGGCCTGTCCAAGGTCCTATATGAGGATGGCTCGAGTTCTGATACGAGCCGTTGGAGGGCATCTTGATAATTGATATGCAGTGATGGAGGTTCTGGAAGGCATCACCAAGAGGGGCTTACATGTGGTGTTGGCAGGCAACAACGACCGTGACGTCAAAGAGCGGAAAATCTGGCTGAAGAGTGGGGCCGTGCAGTCCTCACTCAACTTTGACTGGTTCTACAACGTTTCAGAACCTTCGGAAATCCCAGCAATGAGAGAACTTTCGAGCACAACTTTACGGATGCTTGCAAAAAAAGAAAGCCTCGCAATCGCTCGCAATCGAATTATAGGAACAGCCCGATGCGGGGGTCGAACCCGCAACCTTGAGATCGCGTACTCGTAAGAGTCTCACGCTCTACCGATTGAGCTAACCGGGCGTGGCTCTTATTGGTTGGGAGCCGTGGCCTCAGCTGCGTACTGGTACTGTCGGAGTTGGAGGCTCAGTCGCCATTCGGGGGAGTTTCTGAGGGAGATGTGAGAAAGCAAAGACAATGGTCAAGCGTTTCTAACCCCTTTCACGATAGCTTTGAGACTTGTGCGGGGTAACAGATGTACTGTCTTTGAAGCTGATAAGTGCGACAGCTTGAGCTGATGCCTGCTACCTATTTGACAAATCTCATCTCTCTGACGATCTGTCAAATGTCATTTCTACCATTATCACCTCCTAACTGACGTGATTCAAGTAACCAATGTGAGACACACCGGTTCGTTCTTGGTGATGTTTCTTGCTGATGTATCGATAGCATCATGCATCCCAAAATCGAATGCCAGTGCGGCGCAGTCCAAGTCACAGCTTCACGACCGCAACCCCTCAGTGTCTACTGCTGCCATTGTACTGAATGTCAGAAACAATCTGCTTCTGCCTTTGGTACATCGGCCATCTTCCCAGCTGACGGTATGTGGCCTCTCTCTGAAGATGTCCTGTCCAAGCTCGGTGTCTGGAAGCGACCTACAGACGAGGGAAATACCCTGGAGTGCTACTTTTGCAAGTCGTGCGGCGTGAGGGTCTTACATCGCAGCGTCTTGCCAAACGGCCAAGGCAAGCCATATCTGTCGGTGAAAGGGGGTTGCGTTGAGGGGTTGAGTTGGGAGAATGCGAAGCATATCTACACTCGAAGCGCTCGCGTCCCTGTGCCCGAGGGAAGTTATCAAACTGTACCTGAAGCCCAGGATTAAATTTTGAGCATCGGAAGCATTCAAGCTTCACCACAGGCGTGAGAAGGGTGGGTTTGGGTTTTGTACCTGTAAGACCAGCAGAATGTTTGACTAAGTTTGTGCGGAGTAGAGATGATTATAATTATGATAATCTCGCGTATCTAATACTACGATGTTGCACGCCGGCGGGTGGCGCCATCGGGAATCCGGCCCATGTCGGAGCTGCCAAAACACCATAAAGCCGATCCCGTGGGCCATCTCCGACTGAGTTTGAGCATCACCGTGCCGGGGCCCACATTACCTTGACCTGCCCCTGAAGTTGACCATGTACTTTCTATGAGGCGAGCTAATATCAGATTTTCGGCATCAATCCAAGCCTCAATGATAATGTCGATAGCCCTGTGTACAGACAAGGGTAATGACAAATGCCATTCAGGAGCAATAGATAAAATGGGTATATAAGCCCTCGACGCCCGTCTCCTCGGCCACTAGTTTAGTATCATTATCGTTGTCTGGCAGCCTTATTATCAGTTTCATCATAGAAAATGGCTATCCGAACACAACTTTTCCCCCCCTCCCCTACTTTCACAGAATCTTCCCTCCCCTCCTTGAACTTCAGGGTATACATTATCACTGGTGCAACATCTGGTGTTGGTCTGGAACTGGCTAAGATTCTCTATTCCCGCTCAGCGATCGTGTACATAGCTGCACGCAACTATTCAAAGATCACGTCGGCCATAAAAGAGGTCCAGTCAGCGTTTCCAGATTCAACAGGACGTCTTGAGTCGCTATGTGTTGACCTTTCCGACCTCACAAGTATCAAGCCTGCAGCTCAGCGATTTCTCGCTAAAGAACCAAGACTTGATGGTCTAGTGCTCAATGCTGGTGTCATGATGCCTCCTGAGGATAGCAAGACCGAGCACGGGCATGAGTTGCAGATGGGAACGAACTGTTTGGGTGGATATCTACTCTCGCGACTTCTCGAGGAGCTTCTGGTGAAGACCACAGTGGTCGCAGACGAGGGAACTGTTCGAGTTGTATGGCTTGCAAGTACTCTTCAGGTGGGCACGCCCAAGGGAGGCCTTGTCTGGGACGAGGTCAAGAAGGAGCCGAAAGTGGTCAAAGACCAGATGGAGAACTACATGATGAGCAAGGCAGGTAATCTTCTCTTGGCCCACGAGACTTCTCAGAGATTGGGACCTCAAGGAATTATATCAGTGGTAAGTTCGCCCCTATGGGAGTGAAAGTGTGATGCTGACGAGGTAGGCTGTCAACCCAGGGTTCTTGAAGACAGAGCTTCAGCGTCATATGCCCGCACCCGTGTCTTTCATGATGGTAAGTGGACATGCCACGTCTTGAGCAGATATTCTGACGATATGTAGGGCCTCATGTTTAAGGCGCCCAGGTATGGAGCTTATAGTGAGCTTTTTGGACTGCTGTCGCCAGATATCACCGCTGATAATAACGGAGCCTTGATCTACCCTTGGGGTCGCATCGGATGCATCCCAGATGACATCCAGGTGTCTTTAAAGAATGGACAAGAGGGGGGCACTGGCCTCTCAAAAGCTTTCGACACCTGGTGTGAGAGAGAAACTCGTCAGTACAAGTAGTTGGTAGGCAAGCAAGAAGTACTTGGTTTGGTAGAGTGATTTCCATTTAGATCTAAATAGTCTTACACGGGTATCATGCCATAACTTATCCCCAACGCCGTTGTGCAAAATCATGGTCTACTAGAATTCGTCCTTTTTCTCCCCAGTCCTTCGTTGCTTGCGACTGACCTGGTTTAGTCGTACGTCCACCACGACTGGCCTATGGTCTGAAATGAAAACCCCATCCTCATATCGCGAATTGACCACTGCAAAGGCCTTGAATTCGATGCCGGTCGGGTCGTGCACGAATATGTGATCAAGATACATGTCGTCCCATGGCACGGTGGTAAACCCAGTGTAAGTATATGACGAATGTCCATATCGCTTACTCTGCGGGACAAGGCTCTTCACGTCGTTCATGGTTTTGGCGAGATGCTTGTAAGCCGCACCACTGGGGGAGGAGTTGAGGTCGCCGCCGATGAAGACTGGTATGGTCTCGCCGTCGTGTATAGACCAGTTCTCGGCAATATCAGTAATTAGTTTTGCCGAGTTAGCACGAGCCTTCTTCCCCTTATGGTCGAAATGCGTGCACATGTAGACCATGCGATTGCCCGTGGCGGTATGTTGAAAGCGCGCGACGGTAACAATTCTTGGGAATGCGGCGTCCCATCCCCTGGAACCAACTTTCTCGGGCGTATCGCTCAGCCAGTATGTTTTCTTGTCTTCAATATTCCAAACAGAAGGACGGTAGAAAATTGGGGAGAATTCATCACTTTGGCCGCCCCTGCGTCCGATACCATAATAGTCCCACTCACTTCCCAGATCTCGCTGGATGTCTTGAATTTGCGGATACAATGCTTCTTGCATGCATACGATGGATTCCGGTCTTCCAGATGTTTCGTAGTTGATTTGGGCTGTTAAGCGTGGACGACGAACGGGCCATAATTCCTCGCCCCATTGGGGCTTGTTTGGTGCGAGGCGAATGTTGTAAGTGATAAGTCGAACATCAGTGCTTCGAGATAGAGGCGCCGCAGCCGCAAATGCAGCAGAGAGAATAAGAGATGAAAGCTTCATTTCGGGTTTATTGCGATGTTTTGTGAATGATAGAGAGAGAACCCCGTATGAGGGCTTTTGATCCCCAGCGGCTTTACGGTCGGTTTGCTTTTTGGTATGTTTTGTGTGGATGCGGGTGACGCAGCTTTACAGTCGATGTTGTCACTGACAAGTCTCGGCAGCGACAACTAACAAACTGCAACGTTTATCGAGACTGATGCAGATTCCAGTTTCAACATAATGAATTGGGCCTACGGGGGTGCCGGGACCTCTTGTAGGATACTGGCGGGAGGTTCGGGTTCACCCGCAAAGAATTCTATGACGATCACCAAGAACGAACAGCCAGTGAAATCAACAGTGACTGTAGCCCGCTCACAGCGTCGTACGTACGCAATGGGCGGGCCTCCGTGGCCCATGTAAGTGGCGTGCATTCGTCAGGTCCAAGATAAGCTTGGTTGGCTGTTATTCTCATGGCTTGGTATTGGCTGAACCATTGGCATTGGGTTGCATCCCCCACAAGCCAACTAAGTTGGCACTATCTACTCCGTACCCGATCGACCCTTGTCTAGGTAGGTAATTCTTGCACGAGGCACTTTGTAGGCTCTTGTTTGACGTTTTGTCCACTGTAACTCTAGGTAGTCTAGGGGAGGAAAGAAAACTCAGGACTTTGATCCCAAATGACAAAAAGATGTAGGTAGATCTGCATAAATTTAGGATATTCTTGACTGAGTTTATTTTAACACCCCATATTAAGGTATAGTGGTTTCTTGCTCCCCGAGGCGAGGGTAGTTACTGACTTGTGTGTGCTGCAACTCTAGCATGATGCGCTATCACACCGTATCCTCTCAAGAGTTCCTCATGGTGTGGTCATGCATGATTCTGTTGGTCCAGTCAACGCTAACAGATAACACACATGGGCCTCGTCAGTTTGTCTTACGGGCTCCGCAACATGCCAAGAGAATAAGCTCACAAATGATTGATAATCTTTGAGCAACGGGCATATTATTCTCTTGTTCGGTGCAAGCAGCGAGCATCGGAGTCAATCAGTCCCTGGCAAGAAACCCCTCCCAGAAACTCGGCGATCCAATTGCAACCCATGTTGCAGTTCTCATCCAAGTTTGCCCTCAGCTATAGACAGAATAAAGTTCACGCTATAAAGAGGAGAAATATGAGTGTATGTATGTATGTAGTTTCAAGCTCCCATGATTCAAGATGGCTGGTTCAAGTCTACAAGGTTATGCCAATCCCGAATTCATGATTCTTCCGTACGTGCGCCAAGAGACGGGTCGGAAACAAGTACTGCACAGTTTGGCAAGGGATATGTCATGACCGCGGCAATACAAGGTAACCTAACTTGAGCATTGATAGCCATACTGGACTCGACTATAAGCTTCTCAAGGTAATGGTACCAGGTCGCTAGCCTTCAGGGACATCGATAACGAAGCCAAAGCTCAAAGCAATCAACGGCTCAAATAAGTGCGAGGTCTTCTGAACACGCGTCAAATCATTCAATCGGACGGAGTTAAGACTTTTATGCAGTCAGCACCTTCTTACCTCACCTCAGGCGACGATCCTTCGTAGGAGTGCGTTGTTGGGCTAGCGAACACCCACTTACCGATGCCTCTTAATCGTACTCGGCGTATAGACAAAAGCCCCAACAGGTGGTTCAGTTTTCTCAAGAAAACAAAACTTCTTGTATGGTACCTATGGAGCATGCTCATATGCTTAAAAGCCCCACAAGGTGGCTCAAACTTTCCCTGGGCTTTTGACCCCTGTTCTAGAACGCCTTTTGTGAAGAGGCGTGGAAGCTTCCAAGCGGGAACTGGGCTTTAAGCAACAAAACTTGGGCACACACTATTGTAAACAGAGTGTTGGAACAGATCTTCGTTGATCCATCGGAAAAGATTCAAGTTGCGATTTTATATGAGAGGCGTAAACCAATCTTCGACATGTTCCTAACCCAACTTCAGGTCAGACGCAACCAGCCTCACGATACCCTCATGCAGCAAGAGCTCTTGTAAAGGCCCGACTTTCGCCACCTTCAACAACCTTAGCCACGGGCGTGAGATACGCATCTTCATATCCACTATCTGCCTGCAGGTGCCGCACATATGCCTGTGCAACCTTGATCCAGCTCTTCTTCTCAGCAGCGCTCGATCCGCTTCCCTGCCAGACCCAAATAGCTCTTCCACCATCATCAAGCAAGAAAACATCGTCGCTTTCTAGATCATCATGCAATATGCGTTCGGCTTCCTTGACAAGACCGAACGAGAGTTGTCCCGATGCGTCACTGAGCCTGAATAGCTTCTTGGACGCTTTGTCAGTGGTGCGAGGAGCAAAGGGTTTCTTGCAGTGGAAGCCATCGCGGCGTGTTTCGTC